AACTGGTGATGTTTCCTACAGATGATGGCGAAAGAGGCCCTTCTGACTTGTGAACCACATGCAGAATAGCTATTCCCACCAGATCACCACAGCTCCAGCTGGCTGGCCATGGAGTCCTTTTCTCTATAAGAAAAGTGGTCAGGGCAGAGGGAAGGAAGATAGTGTTTTTTAAACTCTCCAAATGTCACAGCGAGGATGGGCTCACTGTGAGTCAGAAGCAGTAGTGTGTCAGGGCAAACCAGCTCTGATCTGTAAATGAATGCTTATGAGCTGCACTGCTGCTTGTGGAGATTCCTTGTGCTGCCTCCTATCCACTTGTTTCAATCCAGTGCTGTTACCTTCATGGCTTAATGCAGAGGTGATATTCATGCCATGGGGCAAAGAGTGGGTATGGTGGAGCTCTGAAAGTTAGCAGAGATCTCTGCATGTCACAGCCACCAAAACAAGTGATTGCAGAGTGAAAGCAGGATGGAAACAGCAATGACAAATGGAAGCTGCAAAGTCTTTGGTAGCTGATGCGCATCTTCATCTCTCACAGGGGTTTTACTGTTGTCTCTGCTGTCCCCTTTTTGGGGAGCAAGATATGTGGCTGCATGGGAGACATGAATTCCCAGCCTTTCTCTTTGCTGGAAACTGATCACGCCCAATAGTCATACAAGTGGCAACTAACTGTTCTCCATCCCACTTTGTCCCAGCAGCAGCTGATGCTGCTCACCAACATGGGGCACTGGGTATGCACTGTCCTTCCCAAAACACCTGGAAAGAGTTGCCAAGCTGAGAGGCTCTGAGTTACTGGAGATTTGTGGGGGGTTCTCCTCTCAGGAGAGCAATCTCTGAAGGCAGGCTGTTGCTGTGTACCATGAGCTACTTGTAAAGCTGAGTTTTTAATACAAGAAAGGCCAGCTTGTCACTGTAATTTAAAAATCCTTTTACCATCTAGGGAAATGTCAGCAGGCAGAAACAAGCAATGGGAGGGCTTGACCCAAACACAAAGAAGCTGCTGTTTTCTGCCTGTCCTTGCTGTCAGCAGTGTTAGGTTGCTCAGTGCTACTTGAGAAAGCAGCTCTGGAAATTCTCTTCCTTCCATGAAAGCTGAAGATGTGAAGTGAAATGTCTCTGCCTGAATAAACACCTGCCAGACTGTCATGGGAAGAGCTGCAATGTTGAAGTACAGCAGGGTGAGGACTGGCATAAGGCCCAAACCGGGAGTAAAGGAGAATCCTCTGGCAAAGCTGACACCTTGTTTTTGATGGCTTGTTTTCCACCTACAGGTGTAATCGATACTCAGGTGCTGGAGTGACTAAACTTGCCCGCTGTTGCTGCTGCCATTGCAGCTGCACCAAGCAGTGTGGCGGAATAGAGGGAGGGGATGGGTGTGAGACAAATTCCTGTCTCGAGAACCACAGAGGCATTTTCATGCCTGGGATACTTTCCTATTTGCTTTCCCCCAAGGTGGCCCCTCTCGCCTTGGAGACAGTGTGGCACCTGAAACCATGGGGCACATGACCATGCAGTTATTGATAGCTCCAGTTCAGGAGCAGAAGGCCTATTTTGCAGTTCAGAATCTAGGCTGGGGGATTCTGAGGGGCAGAATATGGAGGAGCTGGGGTGAATCCAAATAAGATAGCACGGTGACATCCTCGTTCAGAGAGCCTGTGGTTTGGCAGAGGAGAGTGGAGGGTGTGCTGTGCCCACACTTGGCCCACTGGTGTGTTTCTGATCCATCCTACTCTTTGTAGATGGCTCAAGGAGGATCCTTCTGTGTACAGACTTGTTCGCAGCTGATGGAAACTTGCCCAAGACATCCTGGCTTGCCATCACTGGCCCCATAGATGAAGGGAAGGGACATATCAGGAATGTTTCAACTCAATGGAGGTGAGGAGTTGCAGTGGGATGGTGCAGACCTGCACCCTATCCTCCACTGCTGTGGATAGCCCAGTCTCTCCACAGTGCAGTAACTCTGTTTTCCCTGTGCAGCCTTCAGATCCCCTGGAACTCAAAACCATAGAAAACACCAAGCATCTGTGTTCAGTTTCTTGCATCCTTGTATTTGCTGTATTTAAGGTCCAGGTCATTAAAGCAACTAAGTCTAGTTATCACAAAGACTGTCCTCACATACCTGTTGTCTGAGCACACTGCTTCTATAAGGGCTGGTGCCAGGCAGTCTTGTGCACTGGACCAGTCTCAAAGGCGAGCTCTGGCTGTGGAGAGCTCTGTAAATGGGATCATAAGTAAGAAAACAAGCATCAACCTGAGCACTTCAAATAGTCAGTCTCGACAAAGAGCTCGTCAGAAGGACCTCACAAGGCTCTGTGCTAGCACTAGTGCTATTCAAGACACTTGTTACAGTCTGGAGAGGAACACTAACAGCAAGTTAACAGTTTACTTGTGTCCCACAATTATTTCAGAGAGGCAGTATAAGGCTGACTGCAAAGGGTTGCAGAAAATCTCCTGACTCTGAGTGGCTGGACACTCCCTGACAGATGAAATTCAGTGGCGGCAAAAGCAAGGCAATTCCACTGGGAAGAAAACAGTCTAGCTGTACAGATATACTGAATGGTGAGAGTCTTGGATACATTGAGTACAGGCTGCTGAAAACACTCTCTCAAGGCTCTGTTGAGGTCAAAAAGCCAAAGAGAAATGTTAGGAATGAGTACAGAAGAAACAAAGAACATGATTATGCTTCTGTGTACTTCACGGTCTGCTGAAAGTTTGAAAGTTGTGAGTGCTTCTGGTTACTACTTTGAAGAGCATAAAGACACATTAGTAAAAGAAGAAAGGACAATGATCAGAAGTAGGAGATAGTTTCTGGGGAAACATAGATTGCTAATCTTGAAGAAGAGATTCCTGAAAGGGAATCACAAATGATATGGAGAATGTCAACAGAGAAATAACATTCATGCAGTTCCATATCACAAAAACTAATGGCACCTGATAAACTGGTTAGGCAACAGGTTTAAAATAAACAAACTTTTCCACGTAGGCATCTAGGAATAATGGAACTCTGCCACAGAGTGTTGGTGGAAAACAATCCATGAAGGATTTGGGCACATCTATACAGCATATTTCCTTTGGAGACTGTTGGATGCAGCAGCATAGATGTTACCTCTGCATCAGAAGTGTCCTAAACAGCAGGCTGATTGGAGGTGAGCAGGAGAACTGGGATATAGCTTGTTTCCTCTGTTTCTTATACTTCTTTCCTAAATACTTAGTGACTGCTAGAGAAGATACACTGCTTATTTAACCTGGGCTACCACAGGTTGTCTTACATTTTTAGTTTGTTTTTTTTCCTACACTATTTTCCTAAATTGTCATCTGACCACTGATGATGTATCACAGAAGTGGAAAGTGAACCAGTGAGCTGGAGAAGAGCACAAACTTCCAGATGGAGAGCCAGCATATCTTATAGAAATTCTTAATGTTTTTTGCACTGGTGTGCTAGGACATACCATAAACCAGAAATAGGGACTTTTGAGTGAAAGTAAGCAGATTGTGGTAATTTTCTTAAAATGAAGAAAACATTGTTTTTCCTGTTAGCTTGGCGAGGGCAGTGGATGTCATTAGACATTTAGGAGATAGAAGAGACGTAATCTTCCCTTGCTGAATGAGCAGTAAATATGCCCTAGCTGTCTGATCCAAACAGTTACACCTGTCCAAGCAGGAAATGCCAAGCTTTGTATCAGTAATGAAATTTGGATTCTGTGTATTTGCAGCCATGAGTAGGATATTTGCAGAAATAACTGAGAGTAAAATTTCTCCCCAGGGGTGTTGGTCTTTCCAGCTTGCACAGAATCACTTCTTGGGGACAAATTTCAATAGAGGAGAATAATTTTGCATGAATAAGCTGAAAGGAGATATCAGCTGTCCACAGACAATCTTTGTGGAGGAAAAGATAACTAGCTACAAGTCCAGGACTCTGGGGTGCTGGTAAGAGAAATATGTTGGTTATGGCTTAGCACAGTTTCAACCAGCAAGCTGTCCTAGCCTCAGCCTCTCTGGAGGTGTTTCACAATGTAAGATCCTGTCACGGCTCTGGGAGTGGGAGAATATTCTCTCTGCAAACAAAGCTATGTTTTGGTTTATTTGGCCTTTTCCATTTCAAATGCCTTGATTGCTGGTGCCTGTCAAGTCATCTGATGGCCAACCTCTTCTCAGAGACTACAGCTTTTAAGATGATACATGTCCTGAACCATTCAGCTATGGTCCTGCTTTTTTCCCCTGTTCTGTTCTTCCCAGATTCTGACTCCACCTTCTCTGCCTGCCTGCCCATTTTTCCATTTCATTATATCCCCTCGCCCAGGACTGGAGAAGAAAAGCCCACATCTGGAGGCCATTCACAGCTGGAAGATCTCTGCTGACCTTCCTCGCTTTGAAATCCAATCCGTGTAACCTTCTGTGTAAATACATGGCAGAAAGAGGCTTTGTGAGGGGAGCTTGTGAAGAAACCCGTGACTCTACATCCTTTTTCAAGTGCAAGACTTCCAGATTTGGGTTTAGGACTTCCTAATTTTGAGGTCTCCAAATATGCACACTGAAAGCAATTCAGAAAGAGGTGTTTATTCTTCTGCACACTATCCTCCACTGGTGTGAATAGCCTCAACCTTTCCCGTGCAGTAACTCTGTTTTTCCTATGCAGCCCTCAAATCCCCTGAAACTCAACAACACACAAACCAACAAGTATCTGTGTTCAGTTTCTTTCATGCCTGGATTTGCTAGATTTAAGGTCCAGGTCATATACCCAGCAACAGTTAAATGAAGTTGCTGAAGCATTACATAGGTTCCAACATCCACAACTGATTTTGTCCAAACAGTTCAGTCACTGGCCTTTGGGCTGCATTTTGTCTGTAGAGCAGTTCACCCAGGCTCCTGGTAACTTTTCCACCACTGAAGAATAAAACTTTATGTTTCTTGCATCCTCCTTGCCGAGTTAGAGTAAATTGCTTTAATGTGACCCCCTGCTTGCCAGGAAGGTGAATACTTTGTAATTCCATTTTCAATACCTTGGAACAGAGCTTTAGTTGTTATCACTGGGTTTGTTTAGCCTGTATAGCATTTCTTCTATGACAGCATTATGGAGTGCTTTACAATGCTTACAACCACACTCATCATTGTCATAAATGCCCCTGTCATGACTAATAGGACAAAGTTCATTGAGCTGGTGGTCTGGAATTTAAGGCTTGGCACAGAGGAAACAGGTGTGTCTTTTTCTTAAAATAATAAAAATTAAAATAAAAATAATTAAAAAAAATAAAAATGAGGGAGATGTCATGTTTGTTTCCCAATGGGTTTCTGTCTACTTTTATGTTCTGATAAGGGCCAGCAGCTTCCTGTGCCTTTTCTGTGGGAATCCACTGGTTTAACTGCGCAATAGCCTCAGGTTTTTCACCCTGTATTGGATCTCTGGGACATGAATGGGTCCAAATACCTTATCTTCTGGCATCACACTAAGGTACTGTTCCACTCATACTGTGTGCCTGCTTGCCTGGAAACATCCGCCTTGATGTTCCTCCTTGCATTGCAAATCTGAACAGACTAGAGAGGCTGTGTTCTATGTTAGCATAATTTGGGAACCATTCATGGCTGGCTGTTGAATTTTTACTCTTAAAGTGAGCGAGCCTTATTCTAAAAAGAATAGATGTATTGTGTATATCCATGCACTCAAGAGTTGAAAGAATATATTTTAGTAGAGCTGTATCAGTTTTCTAATCCTCAACACCTGAGAGATTAAAGGTATCCTTTCATTCCCCTTTTGAAAAGTTAACTGTTGCAGGGTATGATTTAAGCTGTTCTGTGTTACGTCATACTACTACAGGCACTGTTCAGCTCGTGTGTCATAGTGGAGAGGGTAGTAGTAAAGTACTGAACAAGAGTAACTTAAACCATGACATGTTTTATAGGTACTTGTTTGACTCAATTTAGCTTTCTAGGCTGCCCCATAAATGTAATGTAATTTAATGGTCTGCACATATCTGGGCCATATTTGGCCTACATGCTACCTCAGTTTGATTCACATATTATGACTATTTCCCTGATAAGTCTGCTGAGGAAACAAGGGGTTAATAGCTCTGACGAGTAAGTGACTATTTTTTTCTTTTCTGAAGTTAGTATTGTTCTTTGTGTGCTACAGTCACCAGAACATCTGGAATAGACTCGTATTTTGGGGAATATGGCTGCTTGTGCCTAAAGCTAGTGACTCTATGGCTTCATATACCCAAATGAATACCTTTGTAGCACTGTGATTAAATTTGCACTGGTATAAAGGGCAAGCAAAATGCTCATTATTCTTACTGACATCTTATTCTAACAGTCTGAGGAAACAAACCAAACCATATTATTACTAATGATTATTACTGTTATCTGCCCTTCGGCAGTGCTGAGAAGCTAGTGCCCCAACATACGAGGTTCTGATCAGAAATCCAAGCAGCCATCACTGACCTTAGAGATCAGGGTGATGCTGAAATGCAATAGTCATCACTAGTGTGGCTATCACAGAGATCTGGGTCCCTGTTTCAGAGTGCAGTGATTTGCCTGACAGAAAAACATTTTCTTTTCTTGTTTCTCTTCAGTTTGGATACTTTGGGGAATAGTTCTAGACATTTAATGCTGACCTTCACACCTCAGTTATTCTGTTTCTGGTGATAACAAGGTTGTCATCACAAGCAGCAAGACCTGCCTTTGGAGGCAACCTGTTCTGTCCCATTGGGATTATAACCTCTTTGCCTGCTGTGGGCAGCTGGAGATGGTCACAGCTGTAGCTCCTACAGATTGCTCTGGAACTGTGGTTTCTTAATAATGCTGAAAATCTGGCTCTTGCTCCCAGCACTGCAAACAGTGTGCTTCCTTTTGAGAGGGCAGTGAACCAGGGCAGGGCAGCAGTGGGACTGGTAGTTCTTCTGAGAAGCTGGACTTGCATACTGCAGTGGGTTTCTGTGGCTGGGTTTTGGTGGGGGGGGGTGGGCTACAGGGGTGGCTTCTGTTAGAAGCTGATGGAAGCTTCCCCTGTTCCATGGAGCCAATGCCAGCTGGCTCCAGGAGACTTCTTGCCGCTGACCAAGGCCGAGCCAATTAGGAGTAACAGTAATGCCTCTGTGATAACATATTTAAGAAAAGAAGATTGTTGCTCAGAAGAAATCCCAGCCAGGGAAGAGCAGAGTGAGAACATGGGAATAACAATGTAGACACCAAGGTCAGTGCAGAAGGAGGGGCAGGAGGTGCTCCAGGCATGGGAGCTGTGGCCCCTGCAGCCCGTGGTGCAGACCATGGTGGAGCAGCTGTGCCCCTGCAGCCCATGGAGGACCATCGGGGTGCAGAGACCCACTGCAGCCCATGGAGGAGCCCATGCTGGAGCAGGTGGATGCAGGAAGGAGGCTGTGATCCCGTGGGAGGCCCAGGGTGGAGCGGGGTCCTGCTGGAGACCTGCAGCCCATGGAGAGGGAAGCCCACACTGGACCAGGTTTTTTCCCAGGTGGGACTTGTGGCCCCAGTGGGGGACCCACATCAGTACAGCTCATTCATGAAGGACTGCATCCCATGGAGGAGTGACCCACGGGACAGCAGTTTGGGAAGAGCTGGTGCCCGAGGGACGGTCTCATGCTGGAGAGGTCCATCAAGGACTGTCTCCCATGGAAGGGACCCCACTGGAGCAGGGGAAAGACTCCTCTCTCTGAGCAGCGCCAGAAACAACAACTGACCATAACCCCCATTCCCCATCCCCTGCACCACTGGGGGGGAGGAGGGAGAACATGGAAGGAAGGAGGGGTGGGGGGAAGGTGTTTTTAAGACTGTTTTATTTCTCACTCTTTGGCTCTTATCCTGTTAGTCATAAATATAAGTACTATCCGCACTTTAAGTCTTGTTTTGCCTGTGAAGGTGATCAGTCACTGACCTCTCCCAGCTCTTATCTCTACTCATGAATCCTTAGTTGGTTTTTTTTTTTTCTCTCTCCTCTGTCCAGTTGCAGAGGGAGAGTGAGAGAGTGGCTTTAGTAGTGGGTACCTGGTATCTGGCCAGGGTCAACCCACTACACATACATGGTGATGAAACTTTTTCTTGAAAGGACAGAGGCAAGCGGAATACACTGCTTAAGGGAGAAGATCCAAAAGAAAATAGCTGTTGTAATGGGAAGAAAGGAAATTTTCAGTTGAATATCCGGAAATCTTTGCTAGCAACTGACTTTTGTTGGTGCATGGAATAGCTTCCTAAGGGAAACCCAGTGCTGGAAGCCTGTCAATTCTGATCTCCAAAACTAGACTGGACACAGCAGAACACACTGCAGGACAGGAAATGAATTTACTTTGTCTGGGATGAATACTATGGGTGTGACCCTGCAACACGAAAAAAACAATGCAAGTGTTGCCAATGATCTCAGGGAACATAGGCTCCTTCTAAGCAGTAATCCAGTGCTGATTTTCCATCTCTCCTATACACTGTGAGGTGTTTCTTATCAGTGCAGTGGTGGCAATGTCACCAGTATATCTAAACCCATTCCTTTCCATTCAATTCTGCTCCTTGCTCCTTTCAGGCAGCTGTTAAGGAATGGTCCTGAGTGTCTCAGATGCACAGAGCATTAGGAGAAGAGAGCCAGATCTACTTCTCACCTGCAGGGATGGGAGGGAATACATCCCCAGTGTGCATGAGGTCTGTGTAAGACTAAGACTGTATTTATTTCATAGATCATAGAATCATTAAGGTTGGAAAAGACCTCTAAGATGGTCAAGTCCAACTGTCAACCTAGCACCACCACCATATTCACTACAAAAACATGTCCTCAAGGGCTATTAATTAACTGACACTCACCCTGGCCTCTGATCTGACAAAGGCAGAGAAAGGTAAAGGTAAAGGAATTGATGTCTTTCTACTGGGCTTGGTCTTACTTCACATCGTTTCACTGGTGCCCCCTGCTCCCCTGGGGCTACTTTGCCCAGTAGCCCTTACGGCAGAGGCAGGTGACTTTTTTGCTCTTGCGCTGATGGCTGATTCCAGTGAACATCTGTGTTCCTTGCCAGATGCATCCTAGAGCAGCCATACTCCTAGTGCTCTTTGTAGTCCTTTCCAATGTTCCCAAATGCTAAGGTGTGTTGGTGCTGGGGTACACAGGGCAGTGGTAAGAAGGGCGGAGGCAAATAACTGTGGTTTTAAAAGTAAATAATTTATGCAACAATAACCTCTCCACCCAGGTAATCACTTAGAACAAACATTCTACATGTCAAAGGTGTTTCTGGAGATAAGGGTTAGCACAATAAGACTCCTGCTTTCTTGGCTTTATCTAGTGCTCAGCCCTTAATGCCACCTCGCTCTCTGCTGAAGGCAGTGCCCCACTAGAGGTTACCAGTCAGGGGTAAGACTTCAGAGGGAAGAGTTGTACTGACAATAAGTTTCCAGTGTGGCAAGTACAGTGTTTTCCAAGGGGACTGGATTTAGGCCCTAAAACTTTGCCCATGTTACAGAGAGTGCAGTATTTGTCTAGGGGAAAAAAGGACAGATATGGAGAAAAACACAGTCTAATGGCTGGGAAATTAGGCTCATGGTTGCAAACTGCACCTGTGCTTGCAAAGCAGGCTGAGGCTTTTATTGTCCTTTTTGGCTCCTTTTTTTTTTTTTTTTTTTTTTTTTAATTATTATTCAGGTAAATACTGCTTGCTGAAGAGAATTTTTCCTTGGCTGCTTGGCCAAGGGGAGCTCAGCAAAGGAAGTCCTGGAGACTGCTGCTGAAGATTCGGCCTTGTGACCTTCCTGCGGTGTACTGACAGGCCATTACCATGTTGTGATGGTTGCCTAGCAAGGTAGTGACAAGTGAGCTGAGGCACAGTGACAGCTGTGTCACACCTGAGGCTGAAACTCTGTAGTATTTGTTTTGCAACAGATCAAAGTTTGCATCAGTGTATCCCCAAGTCAATGAGTGCAGGTGTAGTGACAGAGTGGCTCTGTCTATGTGCTCACCTAACTTGTATCACCAAGTGTCCTGCAGTGGCTCCCTGATTTGGCCTTACCAACACCCCTGTGAAGAAATAAGTGAGCCTTGCTGTGATCATAGAGACAAGAGGTAGAGACTGAGTCGTT